TGAAGCCAGGGATGCTTCTAGATGTCCCCCAGTGCACAAAGAACTAACCCACCCCAAATGTCGGTGGTGTCAAGGGCGAGGGTTTCTTCCCTCCACAGATGTGTGAAGGTGCTTTAAACCCAGCCTGTGGGCAGCGGTCAGGATCACGTTCCCCGCAGCCCTTTCTCTGTTCTTCATCTATATTCGTGGCCGCCTTTTATTTGTGTGTTTAATTGTGGTAACATACATGAAATATAAAACTTAACCACATTAACCATTTTTAAGTGTACAGTTCAGTAATATTGAGCATAGGCATGTTGTTATGCACTCCGTGTCCAGGATTTCTTCACCTTTGCAAAACTAACACTGTCCCCATTAAACAGCAATGCCCCCCTCCCCCAGCCCCTGGCACCCACCTTCCACTTTCTGTTTCTGTGAATTTGACTAATTCACATAAGTGAAATCCTACAATATTTGTCTTTTCGTAACTGGCTTATTTCACTTGGCATAATGTCTTCAGGGTTCATTCATGTTGCAGCGTGTGTCAGAATTTCCCTCCTTTTCCAGGCTGAATAACATTCCATTGTACTGACAGACCGTATTTTGTTTATCCATTCTTCCGTTTGATGGGCACGTGGGTTGTTTCTTTTAGCTACTGCAAATAACGCTGCTGTGAACACGAGTGTACAAATATTTCTTTGAGACCCTGCTTTCAATTCCCAGAAGTAGAGTTGCTATAGCATATGACAGTCCTATTATTAATTTTTTGAGGAACCACCGTACTGTCTTCGACGGTGGCTGTACCATTTTACATTCCCACCAACAGTGACAGGGTTCCAGTTTCTCCACATCCTCGCCAACACTTACTCTTTTCTTTTTTTAATAGTCGCCATCTTAATGGCTGTGAGGTGGTGTTTCGTTGTGGTTTTGATTTGCATTTCCCTAACGATTAATGATGTTGAGCGTTTTTTCATGTGCTAGTGGCCATTCGTTTACCATCTGAGGAGAAATGTCTGTTCAGGTCCTTTGCTCGTTTGAATCACGTTTGGATTTTTCATTGCTGAGTCACAGCAGGTCTTTATCCCGGAGTGGGTCGCTCCTTCATTCTCCGGTATGTGCGCTCGGCTCCTCTCCCTCACTCCCCCACACCAGATGTGCTCGTGGGGGGCGCCCTCACGCTTGCTGCGAGGTGCTGGCAGCACAAGGTACTCGTGCTCTGAGAGCAGCCACGGCCTGGTAGGATGGCGCCACGTGAGGGAAGCAGTGCACCAGCCTCCTGAGCGGAGCACACTTAACCTGCAGAAGAAGTGGAGGTTTGCAGGGAGCCGGGGTGGAACGGGCACTCCAGACACCGGGCCCAGCGACATAGAACTGGGGCTCGCGTGCGTACTCGAGGAGTGTAAACGTGTGTGGAGGTGCCCCGGTGTACGGACTGGTAGGCAGGAGCCAGGACACCGGGCCTTCGATGTCACAGTAGGCGTTTCAGTTTGATCTTGTGGATGCTGGGTCTGCTGACTGGGAGTAATTGCCAAGTTCGCCTTTAGGAACAATCACCGACAGCAGTGGCATTGGGCCAGACCAGAGACAGGGACACTGGAAGGTGAGAACGCCAGTAGCAGCAGCTGGAGGAGGTGTCTCCAGGGGGTGTTCAGAGGTTGAAAGGACGGTGGTGCTGAAGCACGAGCCGGCACTGGCAGCTCTGGAAAGGAGGCCGGCGGGACTGGGCTGTGTGGGGCGAGCGAGAGCCCGTGGGAGAGCAGCAGCGCGGCCGCCCCGCCCGTGGGAAGGTCCAGGGGAGGGACGCTGCGTTTGTTTGCTGCGTGCTCACCCACCCATGGACGGCTGTGTGCTGCGCCCTCCTCCCCTTCCTGTCGTGGACTCCTGCTGTTCTCACGCACTCGTTCCCACACATGAACTTGAGAAAGAAATTGTCAAGTGCCCAAGTAGCCTATCTAGACTGTGGTTGGGATTTCGTTACCCTCATGGATTAATTTAGGCTTCTGTTTCTTCACACATAAGAATTTTATCATCCAGGAACATATGTTTCCCTGAATTTAAGTCCTTTTGCCAAGTTTTGTACTTAAAAAAAAAATCTATACCTTTCTTAAGTTCATCTTAGGTTATGGTTTGTTGCTGTTATGAATAGAATTATTTTTACAACTGTAGTTGGTTATTTCAAAAACCCGAGAAGAGTTTTGAGAAGGCAGTGTGTGGGCAGTCCTCAGCTCGTCATGCGTCGGACGGGGCTGAAGCTCCCCTACAGAGAGGCCCCTGGACTGGCACCTGCTGTCCACTGTCACATGGCCCTCAGTCAGAAACCCTCTTGACGCCTCCCTGCCTTGCCCTGTCGCCTTTACCACTCCCAGCTTGAATGCTCCAAACCTGCACTTTATTCACACTCTGCTCCTTGTCCTTCTAGCTTCTCCCTTGTGTTTGTTCCTTTGACCCTGGGCATCTGCGTTTCTGTTCTGCCTCTTAGATTCTGAGCTTCTTGAAGTCAGGGACTAGGTCTCGTCTCTCCTGCTGCCGATGCTTCTGGTTCCCAGCAGGTTGCTTTGTACGTGCCAGAGGCTATTTGATTGTCTCTCTAGAGAACAGTGACACTATAATAGTTTTGTATAAAAGGCTTTTAAAAAGGTGCAGGTTATTTCTAGAATATTTTCCCAGCATAGGATTCTTTTTTCTTCCCCCAAAGTAAGTACCTCACTCACTCTACCCCAGTTTCGGTCCCATTCGGTGAGGCTGGTGCCCTCTCACATTCCTTATTGCTTTAGGAAACAGTGTCCTCTGAGCTTCCCTGGGGAGCGTAGGGTTCTTGTGTCAGAAGGTATGTCTGTCTTATGGCGTGGGCTACATCTGTCCTAATTGCTGTATTCACTGAGCCTTCTTGGATCACTTCGTGAATGTATCTCCTTCCCTGTTGCCCTGTAGGTTTTTGGGTTTTTTAAATTGCTTTTTGTCTTTGATAAGTGTAAGAAGTTATCTCATCATTTTCATTTGTCAGAGCTAGACATTTTTAGTGTTCTATGCCCAGTTCCGGACTAGAGGCTGAGGCGGGTAGACAGGTGAAGATGCATGGCTTCTACGCGAGGGACTTTTGGTGTGACTGGCCAAGGTCCAGGCGGGCTGAGGTGTGAGGGTGGTATGGACCCTCAAAACGTCCCTTTCCACCCCCCAGGGCTGGGGTCTGCTGGGTCCCCGGAATGAGCTATTTGATGCAGCCAAATACCGTGTGCTAGCCGACCGCTTTGGCTCTCCGGCTGACAGCTGGTGGCGCCCAGAACCCACCATGCCACCCACTTCCTGGCGGCAGCTGAATCCCGAGGGCATCCGGCCAGGGGGACCTGGGGGCCTCTCCCGCTCCTTGGGCCGAGAGGAAGAGGAAGATGAGGAGGAAGAACTAGAAGAGGGGACCATCGATGTCACTGAATTCCTGTCCATGACCCAGCAGGACTCCCACACTCCACTCAGGTACAGCTAGAGATGGGGATGCAGGGGAAGCTGGCTGCACCTTGACGTGGAAATGGGGGTGTGTTCCCCAGGAGCCTTCTCAGACGAGGGGGCCCTTGTCCCACCTCTCCACCTATGTGCCCTATTATCCACTGGTCTGCCTGCCCGCTCCTAGGGGAGAGCCAGCCGCGGTCTCGTACTGTGTGGCTGGGCTTTGGCACAACAGCGGCATGGCTCTTCCCTCAGGCCACACTTGGGTCCCCGAGGCCCAGCAAGCACTCTGCGTGCCCCTCGCCCTCTTATGTGTTTGGGGAACTGCGGGCGCATCAGCCACGACGCGTGTCTGTGAGGGTCACAGGCCAAGCAGAAACGCCCAGTCTGCTGTCCTTTTCGTGCCTCTTGGCTGCCTGCTGCAGCATCCCAGTGTCCTGCCCCTGGGGTCTCCGAGCCTGGGGTGAAATTGGCCCGGAAGGAAAGCGAGCTTTTTCACCTAAACTTTTGGTCCTCCCAGGGGGGGTTCCCTTGAAATGACAGATGATGACAGTGCTATTAGGGCTCTGACCCAGTTTCCGCTTCCCAAGAACCTTCTGGCCAAGGTGATTCAGATAGCAACATCGTCTTCCACAGCTAAGGTGAGTTGAGTCTCCTAGGAGTGCATGTGGGTGGGGAGCTGGCTTGGTCGTGTCTGGTTTGCTCTAAGACCAGGTAGGAGGGAAACCACAGGTGTGTGGGAGGGCCAAGGCCGCCTGTCTGCCTAGCCCACTCCGAGGCTGGGGATCCTTGGAGGGCGAGGAGGGTGGGACAGCGGGGACAGAATGGAAGCCAGAGCACAGGCACATGGGGAGTGGGCTGCGGACCGCGGAGTGGGAGGCCCGTGTCTGTCTTGCTGAGGTGTGAGTTTCACCTTGGCCATCAGGCTAACGGGCTTTGGGCAACAGCTTCTCTCCAGGTCCAACGCCTTCTTCCCCAGGATGTGCCTGGTGTTTAGCACATGCTGACAGCTCCAGCCCACAGGTGCTACCACACCTCTTTGCCTCGAAGGTGCTGCACAGTGGTGCTTCTCGTGTGGCTGGTGTTTGGCACCTGCTGAGCTGGGGGTTAAGTCCATCTCTTGGTTCCTCGGCGGTCAGAGAATGCCACAGACATCTTCATTCCCTGCCTTTTTATAACCACCTCTCGCCTTTCCTGTAGAACCTCATGCAGTTCCATACTGTGGGCACCAAGACCAAGCTGTCCACCCTGACCCTGCTCTGGCCCTGTCCCATGACCTTTGTTGCCAAAGGGCGCCGCAAAGCAGAGGCTGAGAACAAGGCGGCGGCCTTGGCCTGCAAGAAACTGAAGGTGAGTCCAGGAGGGTCCCTGGCATGACGTGGCAGGTTTCTCGGAGCTCCCTCCTACCCTTGCAGATTGGTCCACTTTTCCAGGAAGTGAAACCCACCATACCAAGCCTCTGGCTGGGCACAAAAGTATACTTGTCAGGCTGTGTGGCTGCTGCTTCCAGGACCTGCCCACAGTCCCTCTAGAAGTGCTCTGCTTGTGAGCTCAGCCTTTTCAGCCTTGTTGGCAGAACCTAGGCGAAGCTGGCAGGAAACATGTTCATCATTCTGGATGGTGTAAAGCTGGAGAAATGGTACCTATGTCGAGTGGCAGGCTTGATGTCTAGAAAAGTCTTTCAGAACCCGGCTTGTGTGGCCAAAACAAATAATAAGACATTTATCTGGGGTGAAGTTTGAAGAAGCGATGAGCAGGTTGTGTGGCCTGCAGCCAGCAGTTCCCTGGAAGAGGCTTTGGAGGCCAGCAGATGGCCCAGCGGTGGGAGTTAGCATTGTGTTCGGACTGCCTGAGAAGCTAGTGACTTGAAACCGTGTTGGTAGAGTTTTCATTTGCAGAACGAGAGAGGAACGAGGCCCTGTTTTACTCTCAATGGTCATGCGTGGCTCTGGGCACTGCATTTTAGATACAGCTGATGCTGAGAGGTAATGAGAGCCTGGAGAATAGACGAGGGCTGGGGACAGGGAAGTGGTCACAGAAGATGGAATGGATGTGTTACCTGTGGCTCAAGAACATAACTAGGGATCATTGGGAGAACTTGGAGAAGCTCTGAGTTTAGCTTGGTAGACGCAGGCACTGGTGGCCAGAGGCTTCGCAGCTGCTGGAGTCCTGTCTTGGGAGGAGCGGCCCCCACCTGGCAGCGGCGTTCAGAGCAGCAGGCTGGCTGGCTGCTGGGCAGAGGGTGCTGGTAACCTCTTGTCCTGGGAAGGGCGGAAGCCTCTCCTATGGCAAGGTGGCTGTGTTGGCACCTCCCGTGGTCTAGGGACTGGATCCTTGACCTTGAGGTCTACCCAGAGGCCAGAGGAAGGGGGTTGGTCCCCCCAGGGGTGAACTGCTTAAAGAAGGGAGTGTTGGATCGGAACTTCAGAGGGAGAGCAGAATCCTGACATGACAGGTGATGGGGACACAAGACTAGGAAAAAATGACTGGTTTTATGCTCTTGCCTGAGGTTTTATCTCTGGTGAGGTGGCTTTGGGCATGTA